TCTGTTTTTCATACATTGAAAGTTATCAGAAGACATAAATAATTTTAAAACTTGTAGTTGTTTCCAGGTTTTAATTTATAATTATCCAAATAATACAAACACCATCACTTACAATCATGATATTCCTACATGAGTATACGAATTTTATCAAGAATGATTATTATGTGATAAACTGCACAAGAAACAGTAAACTAACATGTGTGTAATCAAAATAACTCATTCTATTTGTTTTAAAAAAGATACCAATTGCAATTTTAACTGCTTTAAAAAAAATAACGCTAGGTTTCATTTTTTAAAAATATTTTTTTAAAGATTTATTTATTTTAGAGAGAGTGCACATGTGGGGGGTTGGGGGCAAGGAGCAGAAGGAGAGGGAGAGAGAAACTCAAGCGGACTCTGTGCTGAGCATGGAGCCAGATATGACACAGGGCTCAACCCCACAAACCATGAGATCAGGACCTAAGCCAAAACCAAGAGTCAGATGATCAACCACTGGGGCGTCCCTCACTTTTTAAAGAAATTTAAAACAATCCATTTTTAGTGATCTGATGTTCTATGAGTACAGTAACAAGTTATAACTAATCTTAGCTTTACTATCTAGTCTAATAAAATCTCTGCAAGAAAACAACCGTTCAACTATGACACATGTAATCTAATAAGCCTCCACACATTAGAACAAAATGGGTAATTAAAAAAAAAAACAACCTGAGTAATCAAAGAGACTAATATCTGAAATAAAAATCTGATAAATATGAATTTTTGCTGGTGGTCCTAACAGCTTATGATACAATCAAATTTAGTTAAGAGGGAAGCACTCGGAAGCCAGATGTTTAAAATGTGAAATAAATAAAAGTGCCAATAATATTGTTAAGAGAACAAACAGACATCCTAATCTTATAACCAAAGTGATTCAGTATCTATATAATTTGCCATATACTCAAATAAGGAGGAGAATACAGTAAGCATTTAATAGTGTGGACTTAGCTATAAAAGTAAAATAGCTTCATAGATCATTTCCTACACTCAATGCTTCTGAGTAAAGGACACAATACAAAATAAAGTTAAAGATACTATTTAAGGAGACCGATGGATTCTAGGGTTTTTTTTTTAGTTTTAGGAAAACTTTTTTCTCTCTCCTATCTCCCATTAAGTAATAAAATGTGTCACACTGAGTTTACACAGTTAAGCTAAAATTTGAGGTCTAAAAGTTTGGTCTTATTCCTAATCTGATAGCTTGATAAAGACTTAGAAGAAAGGCACAGCGACATCTAAAAATTTATCTTTTGCAAATCAAATATGATCAAGGAGAGAGATCACTTCATTTGTTTGCTACATTGATGTATCAACTAACTAATCTCAAGATCTGTAGTTCCTATTTCTTTACCTTTTACACAGAAAAAATTCATCCCCTATTTTTTAGTGACATAAAAGCAATTTTCCTTTATTAAGCCTTCTAAACATCTTCATCAAATACTTATATTTAATGACCAATTTGTTCTAGGAATAAATTATAACAGTAAAAGTTTTTTTTTATTATTAATTCAGCAAAGAATGATCAGTCATTACTTATACGAAGTAGTCATTCATTTACCAAGCATTTACTGAGTATTAATTGTTCCAGGAACTGTGGAAACAAAAACCAGTAATATATCACTACATGGCCATATCTACCTCAAACAAAGAACATCCATCACAGAGATAAATACCTAAAAAGACTTCAAAATAGAGTTTCAATTTGGCCTTTAGCATTAAGAAATATGCATTTTTAATTGGAAATTTCCCACATAATTTTTAATTAAATTTCAAAAGCAGATGCAAAATGGAAGGACTATTTTTTAAAAATTTGTAAGATACTGTAAACCATCTTTCTATTTAGGACCTTGATTACTGTCAGATTTCCCATGTCTAGTGGAAATAGTTGAGTCTAATCATTTTAGAGAACATGTTTCAACAAATTCAACAAAAACAGGGCATGCACATTCTCTGAAAGGCAAAAATAAGCATGTATTATTACTAAAACATATTTACCAACTGGAACCCTTATTTTGGAGCCCACATATATGCATCCTTTGTATGACTAAATAATACCACTACCCTACTATTTTATATGGAAAAATATTTATCACTCAGTAGTTACTCATTTAAGTCCCTAATGGAACAGAGTATAATTTTGATCATGTACAATAAAGAGAAAAACTGAGACACAGAAATGCTAAATTACTTGCCAAAGACCTGAGAAAAACTTAGAGGCAAACCAAAAATAACAGCTGGAACCTAATATCACAGTTAACGTATTAAATGAAGTCAATTTCCCAATGATATTTAAAAATTACACGTGTAAATTCACATATACACATATACAAATAACTGAAAAAGCCAGGAAAATAATTAAGAAGGATTTTTTTTATATAGCCTGAATTACATAGAGAAGTGTGGTTTCAAAATCAAAGCTACTAAACAGCAGGTTCTAGTGAGTCACATACATTAGTTCAAAGGAACTTGAGAAAATAAATATAGTATATTCAGTAAAATATTAAATTACCACCGAAGAAGTTTATAAGAGAACCTAATAGACATACATAATAAGTATAATGTATCTCTGACTAAGCACTGAAATATATCTTTAGGAAAAATAAAGTCTACTTTAAAATGTCTTAAAATTAAAGTTAAAAAATAGCATGTGTACATAATATTTAAAATGCAACTTAATCATGAAAGTGTAGACTTTGGGGGGGGTGATTTGCAAACAATAATGGTGCCAATTACAAAATAAAAGAGATGTTAGAGGAAATGGCCAATATTAACTTATGAGACTGCCTTTTTAAACACATGAAATTCTACATAAAAAAAAATTCTTCTTTAACCCAAGAGCAATAGTGCTTAAACTGAATATGTATTTTTTTACAGAAGAATCACATTATAACCATAAAACATTTTATGGCATTGCTTTATATCCAACTTATTTTATCCTCAAAAACATTAATATATATTTATAAAACATTTAATTCCCTCTTCATTACCTCTTTAAAACCTTTGCAGAAAATCTGTGATGTTGTCTTCTTAAGGCAAAACCAAGGAAGACTTTGTATATTCATCATTTCTAGAGTAACAAAAATATCTTTACCTTCTGGAAGACTTTCCACAAAATCCCAGACACTGGCACGTTATAATAATGCAATTAGGAATGGAAATTTTATAACAGAAATTAATTAAATAAATGATAGGAAAGGCTAATACTATTTTAAAAATCTCATCAAGAATCGAAGAAAGATTGTACCTACTTTTTTTTAATGACAAAATAATGATGTGTTGGAGATGCTCTTGTTATAGTTTTAAAATAAAAATTGAACTTATGTCCAAGGTTCTTTGAAATATATGACCAAGCAAATAAAATAAATAAATAGAAACCTGGTAAAAATGTATAGGTCCTACACCAAAACTGTTACGAATCAGCTTCCTATCTTGAAAAAATAAGTAAGAGGATTGATATTTACATAGTTTCAAATAATTAAAGAGAAAATAACCAGTTCTCTAAGTTTTTAACTACTGTTTCAAATTGATCATGTCCCATGATGCAACCCTCAACCCCAAGGGGATTTCCTTTAGATTGAATTTTTGTTCATTATATAAGACTGTTTTATGGGGTTTTTTCTTTTATTTATTTTTATTGTTTTATGTATTCCATCATGTTATGCTTATGGTTGGGATTTTTTTTTTTTTTTTTTTACATAAAGAAAATTGTACTGTGGTCAGAATTATTCATGTGTATCTTCTGATACAGGAACTACTCTATCCTAAATTTAAATGAGTTTCATCTCCAGGAGAGCTCTCATGACATTCTATATGTATTACTTCAGAGAACACTGACCAAACATGATAGACCTTCTTAACTTTGTGGAAGCACTTTGTATTTCTTCACTGGAATTTTTATTTTCTCCTTATTTTCTTTAATGATAGTATAAAAAACTCATAAAATTTAAAACTGCATGCCTTTATTTGATGAATTAAAACAAACAGAAATTAGTTTTTAATGACAAATAAATGACATCATTTTGGAAGCAAATATTTAACATCATTTAACAGTGCTAATATACCTTTTAACAACTCACTCTTTTTGAAACATTTAATTTCTGTGCCCTCAGTTAATTTCACGGCTTTATCAAAAGACAATTTTTGAAAGAAATCAGAAATGGTTTCCTTAACATACTAAAAGACTATGTGTCACTGTCCTTTGAAAGAATACTACTTTTAAATTAGATCTCCTTTTGCTGCTCACCCACTTCACCCATTCTCCATCTCACCCAGGGCTTTGAATAATTTCTTCATCTCAGCAAAAGAGGCAAAGGCTAAAATTAGCAGTCTCTGGACCCTCAGGAATAGCCACTGTGCAACATCAGCTGAGATTCCTGATTAGTATTATGTCTGATAAAAAAAAAAAAAAAAGTACCAAAGCAAAACAAAGAAACAAAGAAGAAAACAAAACAAAAAAACAAAATCTATCTAGGCCATCTTTTCACCTTTCTTTATTTCATGAGAGAAGCATTTAACACATTCGTTTTGATAAATGGTAAGGAAGTGCTAATGAAGCTCTTGTCATTAAAAAAGAATCTTTCTTATCATTATTACTAATAAATTTCAACTTTTATAATATGTAACAAGTTAGTAATTGTATTATGAAATAAAATAATAATCTTCGCACAAAGATCAAATTATTTTTGTGGCCTCTACAAACAGAGCATTACCAACTGCTCTTGTCAAGAGAAAATTGTTTCTTGTGTTCAAAATCCAGATTATCACTCTTAATTACACCTAAAGCCAGAGAATAACCATGTGTGGCAGGTTAATAAGTGGATGAAATCTGTTTCTGAACTATTTCCACTAAATAAGATTTTAAGAAAGGTCCTATACTGTGATTTTTTTCCCCCATTATATCTGTGATGAGAAAATGATGAAGATGGAACCTTAATCCCCTAAAGACAAAGTCTCCGCATGCAATTTACCTGACAAGATTTTCATTGTCTCCAGTTCCCTTGCAAGTTGCACATTCAGTTCGCAAATCTTCAGCCTTAGGCTTCTTTTGTAACGCAGACTGCCTTTGCCTTCTCTCTCTAGGAATTCTTTCCTGCCATACAAAGGAAAAAACCAAAACATAAAACAAAATCAGGATATGAGGAAAAAAGAAGTAATTTAAGCAAGAAAGTTTCTCCAAGTTTAGACTGTGTAAAAAATGCTTAACTTATTCCAACCTCATGTTTTTCTTCCTCAGGAATGAAGCTTCGCTTTCGTCCTCTGGTTCTCTAAGAAAAAAAAAAAAAAATTCCACAAAAATATCTAATGTGTAATTAATAATAAAAATAAATATTCTCTGTTAAATGTTACTGCTTAACTTAAGCACTTGGAAAATTAGTATTTCTAATTAATACTGTATTGCTCTAGTGCACTATGTTACAATTTATGTCACAAGAGATAAAAACATGACAAATTAAATGCACTTTATAAGCGCTTTACTTTTAAATTACACAACTCCCCGATAGGAAAAGTAAGTTCTTCAAAATCAGCTGGAATGACTTCTCAACACTTCACACATGTCACACAATTATGATTTATCCAGAACATTTAAACTTTCATAACTTATATGACTTCTATAGCCAAAATGCTAAACCTGGACTCATACTACTTCTAGTACTCCTGTGTGTGTGTGTGTAGAGTATATACATGTTTGTATAACATAACCAATTTTTAACTTCCATCAAAAAGTGGGAGTAAAAGATCTCAGATGTCCCCAAATCCTAAATGAAATAAAACTAAAACTCGGGTTCCACACTGGGCATGGAACTGACTTAAAAAAAAAAAAAAAAGAAAGAAAGAAAAAAGAAAAAAAACAAAAAAACAAAACCTAACTAAAACATGGTATAAACGACTTATTTTACACTATTTAGTTGAAATTTTACATCCTATATATCAGAACACATTTATCATTAGAACGATGACATCTAAATGTTAAAAGTAATAAAAATACAATAGTATTTGCATACAATATGTTCAAAATCTCCACCCACATTGCACAGCCTCTGTAGATTTATAATCCGTGTGTGCAGACCATAGTTCTTTAGAGACTGAAAGAGAAAGGAGGCACCATTCCCACAAATTCTTTTGTCTGACTGCTAAGATCAAGGAACATTCCCAAATAATCCTAAACAGAATTGATGTCCAGTACAAGTACCCTGATGTTTTCCTAAATTTCTGTCATTTCAACTCTTAATAATATTGACTCCCTTGTTATTTAATACCATGGCTAATTGCATACTGTTTAATCTGCCCAAAGATAACCAACAGTTGACTAAATTAGTCATTCAAAAGAAGTAATTTTATAAACTATGTCTTCATTTACATTTGTATTGCTAATCAGTATGTTCTAATTACATTATGGAATAAGTAAGACTATATCCAGGAAACGGCTTTAAATGCAGGCCCTACATATGGCTATTCTTACTTCTAAAAAACAACACTGAGCCTTGCTCTTCAAAATATCAATCATAGCTCATAAGCACTGGCATGCCCTGGGAGTTTGTCGGAAACATCGAAGCTCATGCTCACTTCACCATACTGAATTAGAATCTGCCTTTTAACAAGATCTGCAAGTAAATTATACACACATTAAAGTCTGAGAACATCAGTGTAGAAGAGTCCTTAATACTGACAACACTTATCCAAGTTCTACCTAAAACCTTTAGGCTAGCTCTTTACATATTCATCTTTCCTCTCTGTGACATTCCTGTCCTTTATGCTTCAACTTCTGTCCTCCGACACAATTCATCATAAAACAGGTAAGAACCATGCCATATTCATCATTCTATACCCAATTAATCTTTTTTTTTTAAAGATTTTATTTATTTATTTGAGAGAGAGAGAATGAGAGACAGAGAGCATGAGAGGGAAGAGGGCAGAGGGAGAAGCAGACCCCCTGCTGAGCAGGGAGCCCGATGTGGGACTCGATCCGGGGACTCCAGGATCATGACCTGAGCCGAAGGCAGTCGCTTAACCAACTGAGCCACCCAGGTGCCCTATACCCAATTAATCTTAATACAGTATGTATTACATAAAAGCTCAATAAATTTGTTTTAATAAAATAGTAAGTGGTTAGATTAAAACTCATAAATAATTATACTAGAGAATGCAAATGATAAAAGAGTCGACAAAATGGATAAATTACTGTTCCCTTTGCCAGTAATCTATTTTTCAATTTGCATAATTTATGCATAAGGGCATTTCAGTCAGGTGATCCAAATAACCGATATCAAAGGGAAAATATTCAGGGCATCTGGCTGGCTCAGTTGGAAGAGCATGTGACTCTTGATCTTGGGGTCATTAGTTCGCCCCCATGTTGGGTGCAGAGGTTACTTAAATAAAACTTTATAGAAAATGGGGGGGAATATTGAAATGACTCATTTCAGTTCTATAAACATCTAAGAATGCTCAAAAGGCCTCACACATTTTCATATTTCTCTTCATTCAACGCATCTTTAGGTAATGAAGTAGCAATTCAGTTTACTACTTTATTTAGTAATAAACTACTATTACTAGTTGGGTGGTTTTTTTTTTTCACAGAAGTCAACTACTACTAGTTTTTTTAAATTATCTAACCATTGAATTTTTGAAGTACATATATTAATTTTTGAACTACTTTATCTAGTAGCAAAGTACTACTAATTTTTGAATCATCTAATCATTGAATTAATTTTTGAAATAGATGTGAATGCTCTAAGTTCATGTTCTCAATTCTTTTGAAGATATACAATAATTTACCATTTCTTTATTGGGGGAGGAGGGAGAAGGAGAGAGGGAGAGAGGAGGGACAGAGGGAGAGAGAGAATCTTAATCTTAAGTAGGCACCATGCCCAGCAAGGAGCCTGACGCGGGGCTCAATCTCACAACCCTGAGATCATGACCTGAGCTGAAATCAAGAGTCAGATGCTTAACTGACTGAGCCACTCAGGCACCCCAATAATCTACCATTTCTTATTAATACTTTAAACCTTTAAACCTCTGGTATGATTCCATCAATTCGAAGTTTCTAATATCTATACCGAAATTAGTATCATACAGCATAATGCCAATAAGTGACAATGACAGTTACATTTCTCTATAAATTTCTTCTATGTATGTCTTATTAAAGTGCTATTTTTAAAGTGAATATATTTATAATTATCTAAAACAGTCATTTTCAATTAAGTACATTTATTATCAAATGATAATCATTGATGTATTCCTGTGGTAATTTTAAATGACTAAACAATTTCCAGCCAGAAAAACAGAAGTGTTAAAAGCAATATGAAATTATAGCATCTTGGAGTTCTGAAAAAGCAGTCCAACGAAGTGACCTAATTATCACACAGCTGGTAACTGACAGAAGTAAACTGCAAACCCAGGTATCTCAACTCTGAATTCAGTAATTTTTCTTGCCTGCCAAATCCAAGGTTAATAGTATAATGCAAGTAGAGATGAGTAAAATTATTACGAGAAAGCAAATCTCTTATTCTGACTTGAATACTTAAATAAACTCTAACACTGTGATGCCTAAAGGAAGAATTCTTCTATCCTGAAACAAGTAGAGACTTTTACCCAATGAAGAGGAGACCTCAATACCTTAAATTGACACTATATTCTACCCAGTTTGGTATTTTATACAGTACAGTGACTAACATGATCTATTACCAAAGTAAATTACAGCAAGCATCTTCTTTGGCATTTACCATACCAGTAATATTTCCAAAGGAAAAAAGAAAAGAAAAAGAGGATTTAATCCAAACACAACTTTTCATAAATACCAAGTCCTCCAACCAGGAAAATACTGACAGTTCTGGGTTTTCTTTCCTTTTTTTTTTTCTTCCTAGTTTTAATAACGTGGCAGCAACTGTAAGTATGAGAATTCATGACTGCCTACAATCACAATAGACAAGATATCTTAAACACGGTGTCCCTGAAAGAATCCGAAAATGTTAAGAATTAAAAGAAGGAAGAAATTATGCAAAAAGGAGTAACAAAAACGTTTGGCTCATCCAACAAAATTCAATTATCCAAAAGCTTGCCCCATCTTAGATATATAGAAGTATTCATAACTGGGTGGTCATTTCATGATATACATGAGGCTGACACTATTTTAGAAGCAAAAAAATAAATAAAGCAGCAGGGTAAAAATAGCATGTGGAAAAGGAAGAATTTTATTTATCAAGTATATGTTTTAGAACTTAACACAAATGTATTACCTCTAAGTTCCAAATGACTGAGGGTTCAATTGCAAATTGTGCTTTCTTTTGTAATTATTAAGGTATTAAGAGTGAATGAAAATTTGAAACTCGCTCCAAAACTTGACATATTTCTATTTTTTTTCTGTGTTATTTTGTAAGAATTTTATTCGCCTAAGGAACAAGAACAATCTGTGCTGCATAGATCACCTGGCTTTTTATCTGCCTATGGTACATTTTCTTGAAAACAGAAGGTGATAAAATATCCACAAAGACAGTAGCATGGTATTACAGACAATGTATATAAGTTAAAAAGGAATAAAGTATTTTAGCTATCATCACTTTAATAGTTTATTCATCTGAAACAAATAATTAAATGTTTCAATAACTTTACTCTTTTGGACTAGAAAACCTGTAACAAATTTTAATTAATTCTTTAGCACTGGGGTTATTTTAATTTATGATGAAGTTAGATGCATGATGATTTTCTCAAGGTTGGACTGATTCATTTTACAAATGAACTAAATTTAAAACTAAAAAACAGTGCCTCAACATCTTTGATATCACTAAGATGGGTTTCACATATTCATTGTGTACTGTTTTCCCTAAATTTAAAATGGGTCTTTTTTATGACAGTTAATAAATAAGCTGTATGTGGTTACAAGAAACATAAGGAATGCCTCCCTATGTAATTTCTATACAAAAATACAAATGTTTCTTCATGAACAAAATTCCAAATTCAATGTTAATTAGGACAATTAGGTCAAACCTTGAAAACCTCTGTCAAGCTAAAATTCAGATTTATGCCGAGGAAAATGCCAACAGCTGTGTGGCAGTTATACAAAAATCCTTCAACATATTTTTAATTGTTCAACATAAGTTTATATAAAATTCCTTAAAAAAAACAAGTATATGTTTTCCAATTATAAAACAATATATTGAACACAGTCATATATTAAAACTCATAAAATATTTAAAATAAAATGTACATATAAACAATGTGAATAAAGCACCATCTGTTTCTATTGGCTACTGGCATATAACAGATGGAATGGTGATCACCAAAAGTGATAGTATAAATTAAGTTGACAAGAAAGGAAAACAAACAGGGTTAGGAAAATATGTTGAAGAATAAAATAATGACCAATTTTTCTTAACACTCTAAATTAAAATAACCACAAGCCTAAAAGTAGAAAACAAATTATACATTTTATAAATTAATAAACATTCCTATAAAACCCTTCTCAAGAATAATGGTATATTCAAAATAAGTAAAATCCTGAAGCTTTGCCTATTATTTGTTCTCCTTATTCCACACTTGAGGAAGTAAATAAAAACGACAGATTTCCAAGGGTCAAAAAGCACAGCAGGAGCCTTTAGGCTCTGAATAGTAGTATTTGAGCTAAGGATACCCATAGTAGATCTCTTCCAAGTGAGCCAAAGTGAGTTAAATATAGTCCAGTTCACCACAAAAATTGCAAGGGTTTCTTCTAAGGATCTATAACAAACAGAGGTTACATAATCTGTTTAGTACCGCACAGGTCACCTTGAGTCTAATAAGAGACTCAATAACTCTGATATCTAAAGCCTCCATATATAACCCTTTCTTCCCAGAACTGCAATAATTTATTTTTAAAAAGTATAAAGATAACAAGTAAGTTAAGAAACAATGCACATTAACCATTAGTCATTTCAATAGGGCTGAGTCCAAACATTTCTATGTTTCCACTAAACTAGCATCAAAACTTATACATACACACACATACACACACACAAAACATATTCTAGTTTCTTGAAGTCTTAGGACTTAGGTTCTAACTTTGTTAAATAGGCCTCTGTTTTGCATGTGTAAAATTAGTTTAAAAACAAATGTAATGGAAGTAACATCTAGGATATTTGATTATCTCTCAAATGAAGAAAGCCACTTGGAACAGGCTATTGACTTAATACTGTTAAGTCAGATGGAAAACAGTTTAAATGTGTGTTTAAGCCTTTTTTCAAATGATCTATAACAACAGGTGCATCCTGAAAGACAATATTGTTTTAACCAAAGCTAGTAAAAGCTATTTTGACTTTTTATTGCATTATTTTCCAAAAAAACCGGAGATCTATAAAACAAAATAAAATGTATGAGATAGGAAAAAAGATGTACAACTTCAAAGAGAGTAGATGATGATGCATGTGTGTAAAGGACTATGAGAAGACAGGTCCCAATAAGTCCTTTGGCACTTGTATAAAAGATGAAAAGTCACTAGATAACATAAAGTGTAAAGAAAATGAAAAGAAAATCTGAAAGCTTTCAAGTTACATTAAAGTCATTAGAAAATATGCCAAAAAGTACAAACATCAATTTTAAAGTAACTTCAAAAGGGACACAGGTAAGCTAATTTATATTTTCTTCAAAAGTAATTACCTTGCATAAAAGCAAGTGAAAAGCTTCCACAGAAAAAATAATGCAGAGAAAATGTCTAAATAACAAGGTACTTACACAAAAGTATCCCGGGCTGCCTTTGAGTAATTCTATAGTTTCGTCAATGAAATATGATTAATATATTAGGAGAAAAGGACCAATTCCCTTCCTAATAATAAGGAGCTAGAAAAAAAGACTCTTCCAAAGTACACTAGCTTCAGATGTATAGCCATGGTGAAAGATGGAAAGAACTGAAATACTAAGTACCTGCTGTGAACCAAACCCTGTAGAAAGTAAAAAATATAGTAAACAGGACAGTTCCTATCCACACGGGAGTTCATGTCCATGAGTCTACAGATACCAAACAAATAATTACATGAATAATTATTTATAAATATGGTATATTGCAACTAATGTGAAGCATAAAAATAAAATCATATAATACTCATATCTTTCAAAATCTAAACTACAGTCAAATTGTTCTTAAATTTAGGAGTAAGTCATTTTTAATACCATTAATAAGGATATAAAACTCAACATTCACCTTAAAGATGGGTATAGAGGGGCGCCTGGGGGGCTCAGTCGTTAAGCATCTGCCTTCGGCTCAGGTCATGATCCCAGGGTCCTGGGATCGAGCCCCGCATCGGGCTCCCTGCTCAGCGGGGGGCCTGCTTCTCCCTCTCCCACTCCCCCTGCTTGTGTTCCCTCTCTCGCTCTGTCTCTCTCTGTCAAATAAATAAATAAATAAAATCTTTAAAAAAAAAAAAAAAGATGGGTATAGAGAAAATGCCTAAGAAGAAAAAATTCTCAAAAAACACATTTAAATGGCAACTCTCAGGCAGGAATGGAAAAAAAAAAATCAGAATGGCAATAGGATGAAAGAATCAAGGATGGTAGCAAAAGCATTACTAAAATGACTAAATACAGGATCTAAGTAACATACTGGAATTTTAAGTGAAGGCAAGAGGTATGTGGGTAACTATGCTGCTCGATAATTGTGACAATAAAATGGCTATTAGACTAGGAATATAAAGAAGGATCCATGACATACTGAGGTCAAAGGAATTGGAGTTTAGTCATGGTTATTTCACATACATCTTAAAATTAAAATTAAGTATTTGTTCATATAATCCCTTCTCTTTACCCAGTTTTGGAAAACCCTTCACAAAATATCCCTCATAGTCATATAGCTTCAACTATTCCAAAGAACGAGGCAGCATGTTCCATAGTTAAGACAATTCTAATGGTTGGTCCCAGTTTTACTGTCTGAACTTAACCTAGCATTCAGGTAACAAGTATTTAAAAATAAACAGCCAGGTCTCTATTATGTAAAGGGTCTCTGTCCATTTATTAAGCTAACAACTACAAAAAAATTAATTCCAATTGTGATAAGGGCAGCAAAAGAAAATAGTGCTATGGCAATAATCTTTTTTTTTTTTTTAAGATTTTATTTATTTGAGAGGGAGGGAGGGGGAGAAAGAGAGAGGGAGAGAGGACGTGCGCGAACACACACTTGAGCAGGGGGAGGGAGAAGGAGACTCCCCACTGAGCAGGGAGCCCTAGGCAGGGCTCGATCCCAGGACCCTGGGATCATGACTTGAGTCGAAGGCAGACGCCTAACAAACTGAGCTACCCAGGCACCCCAGCAATAATCTTTCAATTATTCCCCAGAGCATCTTTCTGGAATTTCATCATATTATCACATTAGGTTTATCTTGCTTAGTTCATACAAACTAAAATTAGGGATGAGGGCCATAATAATAGAGGATTACTTAAAGCTTTACAACAGATGTGTAATCTCGGTCATTTTTCATTTGTTTAAGAGTCCAACTTTTTGAAACATCATTTTAGCACTGTTACATGGCACAGATAAAAGAGAGGGAAAAGGGGCTGCATCATTTTTTTTTCTTTTTTAAATATAATCAGTGTCATTAGCCAGCGAAGAAATACAAATCAGTCAAAATGAGATACTACTTTACGCCCACTAGGATTATTATATCAGAAGGACAGACAATAATAAATGTTGGTGAGTATGTAGAAAAACTTGGGTCCTCATACACCACTGCTGGTGAGTATAGAAAATTATATGTCCAGTTTAAAAACCAGTCTGGCAGTTTCTCAAATGCTAAAATGAGAGTTACCATAAGACCCAGCAATTCCATTCCTAGCTATACAACCAAGGTAAGTGAAAAACTCACGTTCACACAAAAGCTTGTACATGAATATTCTTAGCAGCATGATTTTAACAGCCAAAAGGTAAAAAAGAAAAAACAGAAACAAACCCACAAATGTCCATCAAGTGACAGATGAATGGATGAATTTAAAAATCTGGTATAGCCATAAAATGGAGTATTATACAAAAATCAAAAGAAATGAAGTACTGATAGGGTGCCTGGGTGGCTCAGTCGTTAAGCATATGACTTCGGCTCAGGTCATGATCCCAGGGTCCTGGGATCGAGCCCCACATCGGGCTCCCTGCTCGGCAGGAAGCCTGCTTCTCCCTCTCCCACTCCCCCTGCTTGTGTTCCCTCTTTCGCTGTGTCTGTCAAATAAATAAATCTTAAAAAAAAGAAAAGAAAAGAAAAGAAAAAGAAATGAAGTACTGATACATGCCATAACATGAATAAATCCTGAAAATATTATGCTAGGTGAAAAAAATCCAGTCATAAAATACTATGTATTATTCCATTTTAAAAAAGATTTTATTTATTTGAGAGAGAAAGAGAACACACGCACACAGAGGGAGAGGGAGAAGCAGACTCCTCGCTGAGTGGAGAGCCCAATGTGGGGCTAGATCCCAGGACCCTGAGCTGAAGGCAGACAACTTAACCGACTGGGCCACCCAGGCATCCCTATATTATTCCATGTATATGGAATGTCCAAAATAGGCAAATATACAGTGACAGAAAGTAAATTAGTAGTTGCCAAGGCCTGAGGTTGGGAGAGTGGTGAATGAAGTCACTGCTAATGGGTATAGGGATTTTGGCGGGTATTTGAGGTGGGGCACGGCAATAAAAATGTTCTAAAATTGGTAATGACTGTACAACTCTATGTATTGACTAAAACCCACTAAATTACACAACTTTAAATGAGTGAATTGCATGGTATGTGAATTGTATCTCAATAAAGCTGTTATAAAAAAATCATAAGTTGATCAAGTTAATTTTAATTGTAACAAACTTTAAAGAATAATGAACCAATTCTCCATTACCACATAAGTGATTAATTTTTACATTTAACTTACACCTAAATAAAACTAAAATGGCTTTCAAAATTATTTCAACATCCATCAGTATTGAAAAAACTTATTAAGCGCTATAAAATTCACCTACTGACTCTGTATCATTTAATGATATAAAACATTTGAGTATGAATAAACTACTGTACTACTGGAACTTTCCAAAAATATGAAGGAATGTGTCATTCGTTTCCAACATACATGGCTTCAAGTAAAAAATATATAGTATTATAAATCATTGTCCCATTTTAATTTTAAATGTGAAAAGAAATGTACAAGTTACTCTATATTAGTTTCTATTACTGCTATAACAAATTATCATAAACTCAGTGGCTTAAAACAAAACAAATGCACTCTTACAGTTCTGACATGGGTGCCACTGGGTTAAAATTAAGGTGCTGACAGGGCTGCATTTCTTTCACAGGGCTCTAAGGGGAGAATCAGTTTACTTGCCTTTTCTATCTCCTAGAGGGTGCCAACATTCCTTTCTCATGGCCCCCTTCTTCTATCTTCCAAGGAAGCAATGCTACATCATCTTTCTAACCCCTTGTCTGCAGTCACATCTCCCTCTTATTTACAACCTCTTCTTTTTAATGAGTCATTTTTTTTTTTAAGATTTTATTTATTTATTTGAGAGAGAGAGAATGAGAGAGAGCACATGAGAGGGGAGGGTCAGAGGGAGAAGCAGACTCCCTGCCGAGCAGGGAGCCCTATGTGGGACTCAATCCAGGGACTCCAGGATCATGACCTGAGCCGAAGGCAGTCGCTTAACCAACTGAGCCACCCAGGCGCCCCTACAACCTCTTCTTTTAAGTACTTATATGATTAGACTGGGCCCACATTGGACAACTCTGGTTAACCTTCCATCTCAAGGTCTATAACCTTAGTCATACCTGCAAAGTTCCTTTTGCTATATAAGAGAACATATTTACAGGTTCTGAGGATTAGGACATGGACATCTTTGGAGGGCCATTATTCCACTTACCACACTGTGGAAATCACTATATAGGTAGGAAATAAAATGTTACTTTGGGTTAAAATTCAGTAACATAAAGGTATAAGGGATTTCACTCCTTCTCTATACTGTCAAGAGATTACTCCTTTCCCACCAGACACAGGAGGCCTATCCTCTGGAGAAAAATAACCAGACAGACTCTGGACAATGGATTATCAGGCACAGAGAAGGGAGCAGTGACGTAACAAAAAGAAATCAGTAAGTTTACATGGAATTCTGCTCTCTGAACTGTGAGATCTTTAGCCCCCTTCTCCTCATCTGTCCAGGAGTCTGGCAGTCAAAATTATACCTACCAGTTAGGAGATGAGAGAATACTTCTACTGAATGGATGTGGAAAAAAACTACTGATACTGACATTTAAGATGTTCTCGAAGAAAAAGCCCCCGATCATAAAATCAGCCCTATAGGGAAAACAGCCTCACATAAATTTAATTACCATTAAATATATGAGTGCACATCTAAGGATCCCCAGTCATCTGAAAGCTTCGACATGAAAGAGACAAACATGAACAGAACTAGGAACCCAGAGGAAACAGACAATGAAGGATTAAAAAAAAAAAAAAAATTGAGAAGTAATTACAATAAATATTCCTAAAGAGGTAAAAGAAGTTTTTGCCATCATGAAATAAGAACATCTGTTATTAAAAAGAACAATGAAAGTACACATGCATCCCCAAATCAGAAATTTAGTAAAAGAGTTGGAATATAAAGTTGAGAAAATCTCCCAGAAGTAAAAAAAAAAAAAAGAACAATATGATAGAAAAAAATATTAGAGGGATGCCTGGGTGGCTCAGTCGGTTAACCATCTGCCTTCGGCTCAGGTCATGATCTCAGGGTCCTGGGATTGAGTCCCGCTTCTCCCTCTGTCTGCCTCCTCTGCCTGCCGCTCCCCTTTTCTTGTGCTCTAACATAAATAAACAAAATCTTAAAAGAAAAAAAATATTAGAGAACTAATCTAGCAGCACCAAAATACAATTAGTAGAAGTTCCAGAAAAAGAGAACAGAAAAAAGATAAAAATTATCAAAGAAATAACAAAAATTAATTTCTCAGAACTACAATACATGAGTTTCTAGACAGAAAGGACTCACTAAGCTCCCAGAGATGAATAAAGATGTACCACACTAAGCAAGGTCCTGAATTTTACCACTGAATACACTGGAAAAAAAGAAAATACTAAGAGTTTCAAGACAGATGATAAAATGAGTTTAAAAAGCAGAAAGCAATACTGACAGCCAGGAGTCAGTCAAGTGGTGCTTTAAAAAAATGTAATATTTTATACACAATCGTATTATTAATGAGCATAAAAAACTAATTTTCAGACATGTAATATCTCAAAAATTTACCTCTCACTAACCTTTACTAAATAAATCATTGAAGAAGTTGTCCCATCAAGATAAGGGACTAAATGAAAAAAAAAAAAAAATTAAATGCAAGCAACAAAAAACTCCACCTATGAAAGTTTAAAAGGAAGTCCCATGATGATGATGAAGCAAAGTCCAAGGATGACATAGAAAAACCAGTTCAGATTAGAGCTGGAGGAGAAAGGGCTCTGGAGGAAATATTTAAGAAATTATTTGACCTGGCTGACTATATCAAAAACTGTGTATATAGGAAGGACGGAGGGAAGGAAGGAAGGAAGGAAGGAAGGAAGGAAGGAAGGAAGGAAGGAAGGAAGGAAGGAAGGAAGGAAGGAAGGAAGGAAGGAAGGAAGGAAGGAAGATTTACAAAGAAGTTGAATGTCATAAGAAGAGTTGCTCTTAGGGGCGCCTGGATGGCTCAGTCGTTAAGTGTCTGCCTTCGGTTCAGGTCATGATCTCAGGGTCCCTGCTCCGCGGAGAGCCTGCTTCTCCCTCTCCCACTCCCCCTGCTTGTGTTCCCTCTCTCGCTGTCTCTCTTTCTGTCAAATAAATAAATAAAATGATTTAAAAAAGAAGAGTTGCTCTTAGATTCAAGGAGACTAAAAAATTGAAAAACAATGTAAGGCAAAGGAAAACTCTATTCATGCCTTCCTTTAAAAATAAACTAAATCAATGAGAATCCTTAAAATTTAGTTAATTAGTGGGATAGTTTCAGTGTACGGTTTCTTTCAGCATCTGCCTCACCCCTGCCTACTCAGCCTTACAACAGTAATATGGTAAAAAGTGTTCATAAAGTGAGAAAGCATGTTTCTATTATTGTTAATGTTTTGTCTTTGGAAAGTTACTATCATAAAGAAGTCAGTATGAAATTGGCTAAGTAAAACAAATGTCACTTTGAAAAGTAAGCAAAAGGAAAATTTCAAAAAAATAAAATCTTGGAAACAAGTGAGTATACAGTATACCCATCTGGTAGCTCATTTGTTGAAAAGTATCTCCTGGAAGCATTCATAAAAATTTTTTCAGAAGAACAATAATTATAATAAAGGTAACTGCCAGAAAGGGAAAACATAAGATTATCAACAAATATGGTCTTTAAAAATAAAACAATTTTTATTACATGTCATGAAGCCTAATTACAAAGTATTACTATCCCTAGATTCTTTTAATAACAATGTGTGTGTACTTTAACCCTCTAATCAATAGTGGGTTGTTTTTTTTTTTTAAGATTTTATTTATTTGAGCAAGAGATAGAGCATGAGAGAGAGAGTATGAGCTGCGGGGGGGTGGGGGGTGTTTAGAGGAAGAAGGGGAAGCAGACTCCGCACTGAGCAGGGAGCCTGATGAGGGGCTCAATCCCAGGACCCTGAGATCGTGACCTGAACTGAAGGCAGATGCTTAACAACTGAGCCACCCAGTCACCCCGAATAGTGTTAAGGATAAAATAATAAATGCAAACGTGAATTTAGATGAGACTTTTAGTTCTAGAAAAGATTATCTAATTTATTTTATAAATGAGGATACTGAGTATAAACAAAGTAAAGTACTTATCCAAGGCCACATAAACGGTTACTGGCAGAGTATGAACTACAATTCAGATCTACCATGTGCTAGTCCAGGTGCTTTCCACCACACACTATGTTATCTTACAGGTTTTGATGCTATCGAAAACACTCAAGAAGTTAATTTTATACCATCTTCTACTTTTTAAAGGGAATAATGCTACAAAGAAAATGTCCTAGAGAGGAAAATATCAGTACATTTTAATGCATACTTTCTAAAGCATAATTATAAGTTATATCCATAAACAAGATATTTCTAACTGAATAAACAGAAGTTATTTTAAATTAAAATTAAATTAAATTAATTAATTTCCCAAAGTCCTCCCTCTCACCTTCTGTCTATGGTTCCATGTTAGTAACCTCAGATTTGAAACATTTAAGTGAAGGCCATTTTACTCAGGAGGTCATGAGACTCAGATGCTTGGCTTTTTCATAGGCTGCAGCCTTCTAGACCTTTCCATCAGCTCCCAATTCATAGTCCTGGCAGGCTTTGCAGACTTCCCCACAAATTCTCATTTTTCTACCAACTCAACAGTGTTCTTTGGGCTCAGATCTTCACTGTCAAATTCTCTGACCTGGTGGCAATTCCTACCACCTATTCAGTGCTTCAGGATAGATATTTCATTGACAATTTCTCTGATATTCAGCAGAACGCCTCTGACATATGGTGAAAGTTTTCTTGACATCGACAACCCCAGGTATGCCAACAGTAGTTAGTATAAGTCCTTAATTCCCCACAGAGTGAATTCCATTTTCCTGACCAAACCTTTAGCGACTAAGCTGCTGAAAGCACGAGGAGCCTATGATTCTGGCCCAAGGACAAATGCCAGGAACAATCACTGTAATCCTGTCTGGAAAGGCAGCATAATGAAGCACTTACAAGTCTGGCCTCAGAAGCTACCTTAGTTTGATTCCTGGCCCTACCACTTAGAAGCTGTATGTCCTCAGGCAAGTTACTGAATCGCTTTGCCTCAGTTTCTCAACTATAAAATGGCAATGACATTGGTAACTACTTCATAGCACAGTAATGACAATTAATATAAAATACAAAGTAAATAACAGATAATGGTTAAACAAAATTATGCTTTTCAACCCTTTTTCTTCTTTAGACTGAGTCCTCCTATTTGTGCCCAATAATAAATAAGAGAATATGGTTCCTGAGAGACTGAAATACTGAAGATGGGATATTTGTGAGCCAATCTAAGATGATGTTACAAAATTATGTTCCTGGAACAGGGAACAATATGTGAAGAATTTTCTAAAACCAGATCATTCCTCTTTTGCTTATTAATACTTCATTATTTCCATGTTTCTTGAACTATGCCCATATTACTTTTCCACATGACTCACTGATCACTTTTTTTCGTATTTTTTGTTTCACAGATACACCAAAAGAAATGTCAGATAAAGTTCAAAATATATATACCCTTATAATAAAGGTAGATTCAAGGCATGTGAATTGGGCTGGGGAGGGGTAATGCTGGGAGGAAAGTCAAAGGAGACTTTATACTTTCGAATTTCTTGTAACAAAAAAAATTCACATATTACTTTCATGGTTAAAATTTAAAAATAATTCTAACATTCAGAATCATTTTTAAAAAATTGTAACAATTATAATAATTAGATATGAGATAATATGAAAATATGAATCAGAGAGAATATCCATGTTTGTACAAGAGGAATGTTTTCTGAAATTATAGTATTTTCATTCTTACAACTCAAAAATGGCTCTTTTAACCCATCATTTTTAAACAACAAATCTTCAGTGCTATCATTTTTTTCAAGTAACTTTTCTGGCTAATCTTTTATCATCTGTGGGTAGGAAAAAATTAGGGAAAGAAAAAATAATACTGGGACTACACTCTGAAAAGCATCTATATCTTATTGGATCTACTGTCTCAAAATATGCTATATTAATTCAGATTTCTATAAATCCTTATTAAGGAAATCAGAGTAGAATAAAATGAAAAATGAAATTCCTCAGCATCTAAATACTAAAAATATAGTAAGGCTTGCCAAAGTGTTCTATTCTCCATTGCACTCTCTGGCTATGATAAATGGAAACTGTCAGCAGGGAAAAGTGGATGCCATTCTTCTAACAGCAGCCTTATTTGGCACAAAGCAGGCATCGGAGCACAAAAATTGAGTCCATGGGACCATCTCTCTTAACACTGATCAAATCAAATGAACTAATCAAAAAGGTATTTGTTGCTTAATCAAAAAAGCTGAGATGCAATAAGCCAAATGTTTCAGGCAGATTTGGAGTAACTAGTTAGGAAACAAAAACCACTATGTACTTCTCCATCTTCACTGCCATACCAAAGCATGCACTCTTTTTTTCTACAACAAGTTTCACAGTATTCACAATTTAGAGGGAATAAAGCAAACCAATACAGAATAGCAAAATAAACATATACTGGTGGCTCACATACACACATACTGTCAGTGTACTTACAGATTTGCTGCTTCTATTTTTTTCTTTT